ATCATCACATTTCTCTTAATTTTATCTATTGATTGGTATGCTAATATTTTCTTATACCCGAGTAACAACAGGAAATTTTCTCTTTGTGCCCATATTTAGCCCTTCTGCATTACAACACTGAAAATCTTTTTTTTTCTTCAGTGAAACTACCAAAGCTTCCTGTAAAGCTGTGTGTGATGCCTATTTTAAGGTATTTCGTCAGAATGTTAGCATCAGAGAGAGGAATGACCAGTTACGTACCGATGTGTTGAAAACGTTGTCGAGGGTTGACAGGGTATGTTTCCACTCTTGCTGACATTGTTTGTCCTTTAGAAAATGACTTGATTGGGTGAAGCGCACGATTTCCTTCCTTCGATATTGCCTGAGTGGATGAAGCTGCTCGTAGGAGGTCTCCCTTCTCATTCATAGACCCCTATAGGATGTCGAAAGAGGCGCCATTCAGGGCTCGTTGTACGTTTGGGACACCAGCGAGGGGGGGGAAGGAGCTATTTGGTCTAAGGGAAACGTTGTCGGTTGTCCGCTTTCAAACTGGTGAACTTCACCGGAAAAAAGGGAGTAAGTAGATCGTAATAACTATCGCTTTTTTGCTTATCTTAGAATTTGGAGCAAAAGTCCCGGTCATTAAGTAGAAGTGATCTTGCAGGGCGTACCTCATAAGCTATTTGAATTTCAGGTTTCTTCACGCTTAACGGATAACCAGAAACTGTCTGCTGAAGAAATCAAACTGTTCACGAAATTGAAGGAATGCCGGGCGAAGATGCTGACTAACCTAATGAAAGTCTCCAAGGTATGGTGCTTACTAGTGAGGGGAGCGAGAGTACATGCTTTTCTTCTCCAAGGGAACAAGGTTTAACATTGAGTTCTGGGATACTTGTATAGATAGAACCTCTGTTCGCTGCGGATGAAGGGCATGTAAGTGAGGCTGGATTCAGTGCGCGTCCAGCCCTTCGCCCTCCGGTAAGCTAGAAAAAGACTGGTACAAATGACATGATACGGCTTTCTCGCTTGCGAAAAAAAGGAGTAGAAACGGGCGGCGGCGCTCTCCAAACTCATACCCCTTGACACGCCCCATGACCCGCAGCCAGCAGTCTGAAAGGCTCTTACTTAGTAAATTTCTCTCGGAAACCGAGAAAAGTAGGTTTCTGTTTTTCTTTGGAAGAAGCCGTCTTGGAGGGGAGAGGGTAGCATC